GAAATGACTAGGGGCTCTTTCCCCCATACTTCTTTAGGAAGAGCAGGGAGGTGGCTGCTGAGGAAGCATCCTGTTCTATTCTCAGCTTTAGTTGCTCTCTGTTCCTATCTGGATAACACCTAAATTTTCACATCCTGGATAATATTAATTTCTGCTTGATCAAATTTCTGCGAGCTGTGTAGAGTAGCCTCCAGAGTGATGTGGTTTTTCAGCCATGTTAGCATGGAGCCATTCTGCACAGATTGAAAAGCCCCATCACTAGCCACTGTGCTTGTTCTCATGTTTGAATAAATAAAAGAAACCTGACCTGCCTGAAAAGTTTTGGGGTTAAGGAAGATTAATCTTAAGGAAGATTGAGGAGTTAAGTATGTGGCCATATTTTGCAGTTATAATGTTTATGTCTGCTGTTATTAATCCTTATCAGTTCTACTTGTAGAATAGTTTGGGTTGGAAGGGACCTTTAAAGGTCATCTAGTCCAACCTCCCCTGCCATGGGCAGGGATATAAAATCATAAAATTAGTTGGAAGGGACCTTAAAGATCATCGAGTTCCAACCCCCTGCCCTGGGCAGGGACACCTCCCACCAGACCAGGTTGCTCCAAGCCCCATCCAGCCTGGCCTTGAACCCCTCCAGGGATGGGGCAGCCACAGCTTCTCTGGGCAACCTCTTCCAGGGTCTCACCACCCTCACAGCAAAGAATTTCTTCCCAAGATTTAATATAAATCTCCCCTCTTTCTGTTTAGAACTGTTCCCCCTTTTCCTATCGCTCCACTCCCTGATCCAGAGTCCCTCCCCATCTCTCCTGGAGCTCCTTTAGGGACTGGAAGGGGCTCTAAGGTCTCCCTGGGGATGTGAAGCTCTTTAATCTCTATAATGTTTTGGTGGAAGTGATTTTTGTAGACAATTCTGAAGTCAGGCCTTCAACTTGGGATTCCTGAGTTGTATGGAATGTTGCATTATGTTTTTATCTATTACAAAGCCTTTAAAAAAAATAACCTTGTGCTAATTTTGTTACAGGTCGGAAGTTTGGTCGAAAACAGCCCAGCCTCTTTCAGGTGACGTCCATCATTCTGGAAGGTCCCCATGCAGACAGATGTCCTTACAAAGCCCCTTGGAAGAGGAACAAGTGTCCAGGAGCACAGCGATAGCAAACGAAGAAGCTCTGCAGAAGATCAGCGCTCTAGAAAATGAACTAGCCACTTTAAGAGCACAAATAGCCAAAATTGTCATCTTGCAAGAGCAACAGAACCTGACAGCAGGTATTAAATTTGCTGTACTTTTAGCAAAAATTAGTTAATAATGAATTTGTCCCTTTTATGAGGCTTTAAGCAACCTGGTCTGGTGGGAGGTGTCCCTGCCCATGGCAGGGGGGTTGGAACTTGAAGACCTTTAAGGTCCCTCCCAACCCAAACCATTCTATAATAATGTAGTAAATTGTTTTTTGTGGGAAACTGCAACCCTGAAGACTTCTTCATGTTGTTTTGGTTCGTTTGGTAGATGGACTAACCAAGGGATACACAATAGGTCTCAAAGACAAGGGACCTGCCAGATTTTCTGTATTTTCTAGTGTTCCAAAAGTCTTTGTGTGAAAGTCTGGCAGAATCCCAAATCTGGGGATGAGTAAAGAAGTATTAAACAGCTTTCAGAGCAAATGATGGCTTAAACCAAACTAAAAGAATGTAGTGTTAGTGTTAGAAATTAAGTCTTCCCATCCAGTAATTAAATAAGCTCTCTGATGATGTGAAGTAATCGTGCAATATGCTGATTACTCTTTTGTATCTTGTAATATACATCTCCAGTTTATGATATATGTAACAGTAGAGGAGATTGTTTACTAGAACCATCTCTGGGATCAGACTGTTGTCCAGATGGAACTAAAAGTGGTGCAGTTTTTCTGGCAGCAAACAGAATAATTCTTCTTTTCCTGAGCTTCTTTCCCCTTGTTCCCTCACATCTGCCTTCCTTCTACTTCTGAGTCTACCCTCTCCAAGGATTACTGGGAGATGGCCCTTGTCCACTACAAAGGACAACCATTTGGTTTTCACTCTTTCCTAAGGTCACTTAACAAGCACAGTTTTGCCTTTGTTTGTGTATAAAATCATATTCTGATTCCTCAAGTACTCTTTAGTCTGTGAACTCATCACAATTACTTTATTTTTCCTTAACTGTTTTATGCAATAGTTTTAAGGATCAAACGGTTTCACTTTTGAATTGTATTGGGGGGGGTGTGTGTGAAATAATTAACTTATTTTTCATCGATTTCCCTTTATCCCCTATTTATTAGGAAAATTAAATCTTGATTTGATTTTATCATCTTTACCTCCCTCTTCTGGTAGAATATGGCAATGACACTGTGTGGTTGCCTACCTGTAGACAGAGTAGACTCTGGATTATCTATATCCATTTCTTTACACGCTTTATACTCCAAGCCTCGAAACTCTGGTTTGATCTGGTTTTGGTGACATCTTTAAAAGTGCATTTGAGCAGAGGTTTCTTCATGCATTTGTCAAGTTATCACTTGATTTTTACCTAAAGAGTCCAGGGAACTTGAAATGAGTATTATCGTGACAATCTCTATCTACTGGCCTAAAAATCCTTAACCTCAGAGAGGTTCATTTGAAGCACCACTTGAGCTCTGAATTCTTAAAATCTTAGATGGTAATTTGTTATTTGTGATAAGCAGGAAGAAACATTGGTCACGTGGTAGATTGTATGTGATTTCCAGCTCAGTACCTGCCTCTTGGAAGTGAAATCACAGAATCGCAGAATGATGTGGGGTTGGAAGGGACCTCTGGAGATCACCCAGTCCAACCCCCTGCCAGAGCAGGGGCACCCAGAGCAGGTCCCACAGGATCGTGTCCAGGTGGGTTTGAATGTCTTCAGAGAAGGAGACTCCAGCACCTCCCTGGGCAGCCTCTGCCAGGGCTCTACCACCCTCACAGGAAAGAAGTTGCTCCTCATGTTTAGGTGGAACTTCCTATGTTCAAGTTTGTGCCCATTTCCTCTTGTCCTGTCCCTGGGCACCACTGAAAAAAGCCTGGCCCCATCCTCCTGACACCCACCCTTTCAGTATTTATAGGTGTTGATCAGATCCCCCCTCAGCCTTTCCTTCTCCAGACTAAACAGACCCAAGTCCCTCAGCCTTTCCTCGTCAGAGAGATGCTCCAGGCCCCTCATCATCTTTGTAGCCTCTGCTGTCCCCTCTCCAGCAGTTCCCTGTCCTTCTGGAACTGGGGAGCCCAGAACTGGACGTAGTACTCCACCTGGAGTAGAGGAGCACAATAACCTCTCTTGACCTCTCTCACAGTCTTCCTGATGAGGCCATTGGCCTTCTTGTCCACAAGGGCCCATTGCTGGCTCACGGTCATCCTGTTGTCCACCAGGACTCCAAGGTCTCTTGTAGGGAGACCTTTTCCTTACCAGGAAATGCTGGTAACATGAGAAGCAGGACACAACTAAAAGATGGTGTGACATCCACCCAGAGTAGCAAAGGCATGAACACCCTTAGAATTTGAGCTGGAAATCCAAAGAACACTTCTCTCTCTTCCAGAAGGATGTTTTTGTGGCTTCTCAGTTAGGTGTTTTTGGAATGAAGAAGTTTTTGGAATGGAGAAGTTATGTGATAATCTAAAGGTGGCAGAGGGGAGGCACGTGAAGCTTCTCCAGTACTATTTTTACCTGAGCATTTGAGAGAGAGATTTACAAGTAAACTGACGGGCAATGCCTCTTTTATTTGTAGTTGGGTCAAGTCCAGTTGCTTCAGCTGCTCTCCCTGGTGCACCTCCACCACCACCACCACCTCCTCCTCCTCCTCCTCCACCGCTCAGTCCCCCGGGCCCGCAGCAGAGCGCGTCTGCCATCGACCTCATCAGAGAAAGGAAAAACAAAAAAACGAACTCTGGACAGAACCTGACAGAAAACGGGCCAAAGAAGCCTGAGATACCAAACATGCTCGAGATCCTCAAAGACATGAACAGCGTGAAACTGCGCTCAGTGAAAAGGTAATAAATATAATTAAACATCAGTGTATGAACATTTTCATTAATAATTGTAACTCGGGGCTATTTCACGGTGAGGCAGATGCTGAGGTAACATCTGGCAGACAGGACGCAGAAGTGTTTATGGCCACCGAAGCTTTGTTTTGGGTGATTTTAAGGCTTCTCGTTTTCTTTTTCCAGATCGTCAGAAGGTCCAAAATCCAAAGTGGCTGATCCTGCAGACCCCGCCGCGTTGATAGCGGAAGCGCTCAAGAAGAAATTTGCGTATCGATACCGAAGTGACAGCCAAAGTGAGGTGGAGAAAGCGATTCCAAAGACAGAAACGAAGACAAAGACGGAGGTGCTGGTGAGTGTCGGGGTGCCCAACACGCGCTGGGACCACGTTGTAGTTGTGGTGAATACCAACGTGTGTCCTTCTGCCAACGTAATGCCAATACCTGTTGGCATCCCCCTCCACAAAACCCTCTGAAGTGCTGCTGAGGGGCCAGGATTTTAGTATCGGATTATGGATGGATATTAGGAATAAACCTCTTCATGGAAAGGGTTATCAAGCATCAGAACAGGCTGCCCAGGGATGGTGGAATCGCCATCCCTGGTGGTATTTAAAAGATGGGTAGATGTGGTGCTGAGGGACATGGTTTAGTTGTGGTCTTGACAGTGTCAGGTTAACACTGGAAGGACAGGAAGGACATGGACCTGCTGGAATGGGTTCAGAGGAGGCCATGAAGATGCTCAAAGGGCTGGAGCCCCTTGGTGGAATCGCCATCCCTGGTGGTATTTAAAAGATGGGTAGATGTGGTGCTGAGGGACATGGTTTAGTTGTGGTCTTGACAGTGTCAGGTTAACACTGGAAGGACAGGAAGGACATGGACCTGCTGGAATGGGTTCAGAGGAGGCCATGAAGATGCTCAAAGGGCTGGAGCCCCTCTGCTGTGAAGACAGGCTGAGAGAGTTGGGGTTGTTCAGCCTGGAGAAGAGAAGGCTCCAGGGAGACCTTAGAGCCCCTTCCAGTCCCTAAAGGGGCTCCAGGAGAGATGGGGAGGGACTCTGGATCAGGGATTGGAGCCATAGGAGGAGGGGTAATGGATTTAAACTGCAAGAGGGGAGATTTAGATGAGATCTTTGGAAGAAATTCTTTGCTGTGAGGGTGGTGAGACCCTGGAAGAGGTTGCCCAGAGAAGCTGTGGCTGCCCCATCCCTGGAGGGGTTCAAGGCCAGGCTGGATGGGGCTTGGAGCAACCTGGTCTGGTGGGAGGTGTCCCTGCCCAGGGCAGGGGGTTGGAACTCCATGATCTTTAAGGTCCCTTCCAACCCAAACCATTCTATGATTAACAGTTGCACTTGATGATTTTATAGGTTAGTTAGTTATAAGTTAGTGGCTTCTAGTGTATTATTTCAGATTGATTTGAATTGGAGGTGAGGGGTTTTTAAGCAGTAAATATTTACGTTTCTAGCAATATACACTTAAGCACCAGGCCAGTAGAGCTCAGTTGTGTTCATGAGTGATCCTGGGAGCCTTGTGCTGTAGCACCAGAGAGGAAGAGTAGAGAGTAGTTTGGACATCCTGTTTGGAATCCTGGGCTGTGTAGGGAAGAGTGTGGCCAGCAGGTCGAGGGAGGTCATTCTGCCCCTCTGCTCTGCACTGGGGAGGCCACAACTAGAATCCTGCGTCCAGTTCTGGGTTCAGTTCAAGAGGGACAGGGAACTGCTGGAGAGAATCCAGCATAGGGCAACAAAGATGATGGAGGGATTGGAGCATCTCCCTGATGAGGAAAGGCTGAGAGACCTGGGGCTCTTTAGCCTGGAGAAGAGAAGGCTGAGGGGAGACCTTATTTATAAGTATCTAAAGGGTGGGTTGAAGGATGTTGGAGCCGGACTCTTTTCAGTGGTTCCCAGTGACAGGACAAGGGGCAACGGGCACAAGCTGGAACATGGGAAGTTCCACTCAAATCTGAGGAAGAACTTCTTTGGGGTGAGGGTGCCAGAGCCCTGGCAGAGGCTGCCCAGGGAGGGTGTGGAGTCGCCTTCTCTGGAGATCTTCAAGCCCTGCCTGGATGCTGTCCTGAGTGATGTGCTCTGGGCAACCCTGCTTTGGCAGGGGAGTTGGCCCAGATGATCTCTAGAAGTCCCCTCCAACTCTGACAATTCCGTGATTCCGTGACAAATGCACGTAAACCTTAAGTGCTGGCTGCGCTCTGAATTCAATTCTGAGGAAAATAAGATTCCCGAGCTCCAAATCTCAGGATTTCTGAGTATTTCAGCTTATTAATGGTGAGTGATTGGCCTCCTGCTTTAGACCTCCGAGGTGTATTCCTGTAACGTTCGGGCTGTTCTTTGTAACTAAATTCGTAGATGTTCCCCAAAAATCAGTCGCTTTTTCCCAGCATTTCCAAGGCTTTAGGAAAAAGAACAGGAGTTGGTGATATTTCATTCACACGTGGATTTTTCATACTTAGAATCATAGAATGGTTTGGGTTGGAAGGAACCTCAAAAATCATGGAGTTCCAACCCCCCTGCCATGGGCAGGGACACCTCCCACCAGACCAGGTTGCTCCAAGCCCCATCCAGCCTGGCCTTGAAGCCCTCCAGGGATGGGGCAGCCACAGCTTCTCTGGGCAACCTCATCCAGGGTCTCACCACCCTCATAGTAAAAAATTTCTTCCTGAGATCTCATCTGAATCTTTTTTTCTTCCAATTTAAAACCGTTTCCCCTTGTCCTATCATTACCCTTCCTGGCAAAGAGTCCTCCAGCTCTTCTATAGGCACCCTTCAGATATTGAAAGGCCGCTATAAGGTCTCCCCGGGGCCTCCTCTTCTCCAGGCTGAACAACCCCAGCTCCCTCAGCCTGTCTTCATAGGAGAGGTGCTCCAGCCCTCAAATCCAAATACTTCCCGGATTTGAAGTTTGCAGTCCATCGTTTGAGATTAAGGATCATCAAGTTCTCCAAAGCTAGGAAAATGGAAGGTTTTAATTTGTTAAACGATAGAACTCCAGGTTTCTCTTGACAGCCACCTGACCATGTTTCTGGTTTCCTTCCCAGTTCGGACCGCACATGCTGAAGTCTACAGGAAAAATGAAGACTTTAATTGAAAAATCTTAAGGGATTAAAAAATCACCACGGGAAAGACTGTTGAGCTCTTGTGTCCGGAATCTCCTCTGTTGCCAACGGCACCGGCACCGAGCGCTCTCTGACAGCACGGGACCAAACCTCACGTGAGATGTAGGATTGAGGCACTAAACCTGTTTGTTTGGGATTTATCAAAGGGGGAATAAATTTTACCGTTTATACTCAGGTATTAATTTTGTATTCCAACCTGGCTTCCTGCTCAGACTGACCCAGTGGTTCTAGTTTCCTAACACTAAGTTAAATAGACAACAGCCTCAGCGCGTTAACCGACCACCCGAAAACCTCCTGTACGTGTTAACGATGGCAGTGACACACCCTGAAGTTAATACTGGTTTTTGGAGCTCTAACCGTAACTTGCACTACAGTTTTTTGTTTGATACTGAATTTTTCAATTTTTCCTGTCGGAGTCTTTTCTTTTTAAACTTCATTTTAGCCAATTTTTAGCCCAAAGAAAACGTGGATGGGTCCTGCTTCCTGTCGAGAGAAGGCGAAAGCCTGGATCTGCTGCAGAGGTTGCCCCGGGGTGGGGAGATGTTTTCAGCAGCATCATGGTTTTTGGCCAGGGTGGTTTTTTTTATATTTTTTTTTTGGTTTGTTTCAAAGGGTAAGAGAGGAAAAACCTACTTGTTCCCTCTCTGTGGCCAGCGTTGAGGGTGGGACAGGTGAGTAAGTGGAGCCCCAGGAATTTGAAATAACCATCAGGCAGCAGCCAAGTGAGAGCAGTGTCTGAGCACGTGGTGTAGATGAGGAGGGGGAAAAAAAGGGGTACCTGGTACCCACAGCTCCTCGGGGTGCAAGTTGCCAAAAGTCTTACCATGTGTGGCTCATCCCAGCTGTGCTAATTAATGCTCCTGGCCACCTCTCCATCCCCTCCCTGGGTGGGTTCCTGGGGGCAGCCCCTCTGGGGACTTCCCCCCAACCCTAGGGAGCCGGTTCCTCAGCCCACCGCCCCGAGCTGGCGTTCCCTGGGCGGAGAGTAGAAAGGGCTGAAGCTAAAAATGAAAGTGGGGTTGGAAAAAAAGCTGTTTTAGGAAAGTGGAGAGGTTTTCTCTGGCTGTAGAAAATCTCGAGTCTGGGCCTTTCGGTGCTCCACGTTGCTGGTTCCAGCGACGGGTCGCAGGTGCCCATGGGAGCTCCTCTTTTCTCAGAAAAGAAAACATCAGCAGGTCTTAGGTGCAGGTGGGTGAATGGCTCTGGCCAGTTCCTGGAGGTGACCAAAGCTTTGCTGCTTCGACCCTGGGGTGTAGATCCTGCAGGGGGAGGATGTTCTGGTGTGAGACCTGAAGCGCTGTTGATGTGCACCTGATGGTCCTTCCCTGCAGGTGGCCGTGCCCTCCCTCGCGCCGACGGGCCCTCCCGGCCCTGGGGATTCTTTTAAATGCCTTTAAAACGCCTTTTCCGAACGCTCGTTTCAGTTTCTGGTTTTGTATTTAATGCTCTATTGCCACTATGTAAAATTAAAAGCAGTTAAAATAAACACTGCGTGTGTGGTTTGTGGTGCTGTACCAATGACAGCAGTCAGGATGGAGCAGGGTTTATGGTCTGTGACTGTCACTACACACCCATGTGGTGCGGGATGGAGCAGAGGTTACGTTCTGTGACTGTCACTACACACCCATGTGGTGTCAACTTAACGTGTGTCTTCTTTGCTTACAAGGAAGGGATTTCCTCTTCAATATGTTCATCGATGACCTGGATGAAGGGATGGAAAGTGCCCTCAGCACGTTTGCTGATGATACAGAAGTGGGAGGGGTGGCTGATGCCACCATCCAGAGAGACCTGGACAGGCTGGAGACCTGGGCAGAGAGGAACCTGATGGACTTCAGTAAAGGCAAGTGTAGGGTGCTACACCTGGGGAGGAATAACCCCCTGCACCAGGACAGGCTGGGGGTGACCTGCTGGAGAGCAGCTCTGAGGAGAAAGACCTGGGAGTCCTGGTGGACACCAGGATGGCCATGAGCCAGCAATGGGCTCTTGTGGCCAAGAAGGCCAATGGCATCCTGGGGGGCATCAGGAAGAGTGTGACCAGCAGGTGGAGGGAGGTCATCCTGCCCCTCTGCTCTGCCCTGGGGAGGCCCCATCTGGAGCACTGGGTCCAGTTCTGGGCTCCCCAGTTCCAGAAGGACAGGGAACTGCTGGAGAGGGGACAGCAGAGGCTACAGAGATGATGAGGGGCCTGGAGCATCTCTCTGATGAGGAAAGGCTGAGGGACTTGGGTCTCTTTAGTCTGGAGAAGAGAAGACTGAGGGGGGATCTGATCAACACCTATAAATACTGAAAGGGTGGGTGTCAGGAGGATGGGGCCAGGCTTTTTTCAGTGGTGCCCAGGGACAGGACAAGAGGAAATGGGCACAAAGTTGAACATAAGAAGTTCCATCTAAACATGAGGAGGAACTTCTTTCCTGTGAGGGTGGCAGAGCCCTGGCAGAGGCTGCCCAGAGAGGTGGTGGAGTCTCCTTCTCTGGAGACATTCAAACCCACCTGGACACGTTCCTGTGCGACCTGCTCTGGGTGACTCTGCTCTGGCAGGGGGTTGGAGTGGATGATCTCCAGAGGTCCCTTCCAACCCCACATCACTCTGTGACTCAGCCTTCCCCAATCCAGCCCTGGGACAAGGGGGCTCAGACTAAAACTATTCCCCCCTTCCCCCCGAGCCCCGTCCTGGCTCCTGCCAGCGCAGGCGGCAGCGACACGGCCCAGTGCTGAGGAACCCGAGGTTGTCCACCCCTATTGTATCAAAATATCGCTCTACACGGCTTTGTAAAGTCATTACTTTTAATGTTCATTAAAACGACATATTAAAATACGCTTATAAATAGCCTGGAACAAGTAGCAAAACGTCCGTAAGCGCTGTTGAGGCCCCGGCTTTAACCAAAAGTCACATCTTTGTTAAAAAAAAAATGTGAGTCCCAGAAGACACCATCAGGTACCCATTTTAGTGGCATTTGATACCCATTTGGGTTCGGAAATAACTGCAGTTGGAATATGCTTTTTTTTACTCCAAAACCTCGAGGAGGAATCAATACTTTCCCCCCCGTAACCCCCCGTTTTACCCACACGCAGCCGGAACCCCCCTGTCAAAACCTCAAGGAGGAATCAATACTTTCCCCAAAGTTTCAAACCCCCCGTTACCCACACGCAGCCGGAACCTCCCTGTCCCGGCAGCTCTGACTTTCAGGGTTATTTTCCTGTTAAAACAAGGCTTTTCTGTTAAAACCGAAGCTCCTGGTCCCCTTTGCTGCTGAAGGGGGACGGCAGCAAAGGAAGGAAGGTCACGCAGGGTCAAAGGAAACGCTTTCAGTACAAATTTATTTCTTTAAACGTGGGCCGCTGGGAGATGAACCATCCCCCTCCAGGGAACAGGAAAAGAATCAACAACTTAATTTTTAGCAAAGGAGGGGGGGTGGGAAACAACCAGGTAAGTCGGGATAAGGCCAAAAAAAAAGAAAAAACTCTAAATTTTGGCAAGAAATGTAATATTTTCAAATCCCAAAGCGGGGGCTGAGTCGGAGAGTGGAAGCCAACGAGCTTTATCTTCCTGTGACGCTGGACTTGGAGCAAAATGTGAAAAAGATTTTGGTTTGGTTTTGTTTGTTGTTTTTTTTTTTTATTATTCTTATTCTTAATTAAAAGTTAACAGCAACAGGCACATATTAAAATGACTATGGCAAAGCCTTTACAAATGGCTTTACGCTGAAGCTCTCTCCCAAAAATGGCTGTTGCGACAAAACTGTAAACAGAATTCAGAAAACAGTCTTTTACAATAATAAAACAGGGAAATACAAAGGAACTGAAAAGAAAGCACCAGTTTCTCAAAACCCGGTTACAGTTGTGCTTGCTGGACTCAAAACAAGGTAAAACAAATTACAAAAAATGGAATGTTTTTAAGTTGAAAATTAGTCCTTTCAAATTTTGTCCTTTAAAAAAAACACCCCCGTTTTCTCCTTTTCCCCATCGAAAACCCCGTTGGTGGGTAAATGTTTCAGCAGAGGGAGGAATACGTAAACAATGCACTTTTGTTGTGTGGTTTGTTGGTTGGTTTTTTTTTTTTAATATTATTATTTATTAATTTTATTTTTTTTTTCAAATCAAAAACAAATTTGGTCACTTAGCTTTTGTGCATAGTTTAAGGCATCTGTAGCAATTTTGTTACAGTTTCCTCCCCACCGTTGGCCGTTCGTGAGAATTGTCACATTCGAGAAGAATAAATAAAATAATAAAAATTCAACAAAACAAAACAGAACAAAAACCCAAACACAAGAAAAACACAATAAAAAGACCATCATTAACGTT